CATGGTCAGTTAATCTATGACAAAAGAGTCACAAATATACAATGGGGAAAAGACAGTGTCTTTAACAAACGATGCTGGGAAAACTGTAGAGCTACATGCAAAAGAATGGAAGTGGGCCACTTTATCGCACCATACAAAAAAATAAACTCAAAATGGCTTAAGAACCTAAATGTGAGGCCTAAAACAATAAAACTCCTAGGACAAAACACAGGCAGTAATTTCTTTGACACTGGCCATCAGAACATTTTTCTAGATATGTCTCCTAAAGCAAGGGAAACAAAAGCAAAATTAAATGTTTGGGACTATACCAAAATAAAAGGCTTTTATACAGAGAAGGAAACCATCAACAACTAAAAGTCAACCTGCTGAATGGGAGAAGATATTTGCAACTGATATAGTCAACAAGGGGTTAATATCTAAAACATATCAAGAACTTATAGCACTCAATACCAAAAAAAACCCTAATCCAATTAAAAATGGGCAGAGGATCTGCATAGACATTTTTCCAAAGGCAACATACAGATGGCCAGCAAGCACATGAAAAGATACCCAACATCACTCACCATCTGGGAAGTGCAAATTAAAACCACAATGAGATATCACTTTATAGTTGTCTGAATGGCTAAAATAAAAAAGAAATAACAAGTGTTGATAAGGATGGGGAGGAGAAAAAACCCTCATGCTCTGTTGGTAGGAAGGAATGTAAATTGGTATAGCCACTGGGGAAAACAGTACAAAGACTCCTGAAAAAATTAAAAATAGAATTACCATAATTTCATGTCAGGTATTTACACAAAAAAAATGAAAACACTAATTAGAAAAGATATATGCACCCTTATATTATTGCAGAATTATTTATAATAGCCAAGATATAGAAGTGACCCAACCATCCATCCATAGAATGATGAATGGATAAAGAAGACATGGCATATATATATATATATATATATATATACATATATATGTGTGTGTGTACACATACACACACACACATTCATTCCACACAGTGGAATATTACTCAGCCATGAAGAATAATGAAATCTGGTATTTGCAACAATATGCGCGGAGCTAGAGGGTATAAGGTATAATGTTAAGTGAAGGAAGTCCATTGGAGAAAGACAAATACCATAGAGGTTTTCACTCATATTTGGAGTTTAAGAAACAAAACAAATGAACAAAGAAAAAAAGAGACAAAAAAACCCAGACTCTTAAATAGCGATAACTGGTAGTTGCCTCGGGGGAGGTGGGTGGGGAGATGGACTAAATAGGTGAAGGAGAGTAAGAATACATTTATCTTGGACAGTAAGAAATATATATAGAATTGTTGAATCATTATATACCTAAAACTAATAAAACACTATATGTTAATTATACTTCAATAAAAATTTTTTAAAGATTTTCATTTATTTGAGAGAATGAATGAGAGAGAGAGAGAGAGAGATAACATGAGCAGGGGGGAGGGGCAGAGGAGGAAGAAGAAGCAGACTCCCTGTTGAGCAGGGAGCCCAACATGGGGCTTGATTCCAGGACCCCAAGATCATGACCTGAGCTGGAAGAAGATGCTTAACCGAGTGAGCCACACAGGTGCCCCAGTAAAAAAAAAAAAAAAAAATCAAAGACAAAAATAAATGCACAGACATTTAGACAACATTAAAAATGTAAAGACACTAGTTTTGTTTTAGCATATAAAAGATATCCAAAGAAAGGTAGTTCCAATTGTTTAGTCTGTATCCAAAGAAAATACCTTTTCCCCGAATCTGATTTAATTATGCCCCTTGATAAATTTGTTAGTGAGTTACTATTGCCATCAAGTAAAATGGAAGCCTTGGTGTGTGTATGTGTGGGGGGGGGATCCTTTACCATACTACTTGAATAAATAGAAGGTTAATATGGGAAGAGTCTGTACAAATTCTAAAGCACAGTGGTAAACAGACTTAAAGGAACCATCCCTGATTCCCATTTGATAGTAGTCACATGCCCAATAATCCTCTTCTCCTGAGTACAGGCAGGACCTGTGTCTGTCTTTCTTTCCTTCCTTCCTTCTTTTTCTTTCCTTTAGATTTTTACTTATTTATTTGAAAGAGAAAGATAGCAAAAGAGAGCATGAACAGGGAGGAGAGGGAGAAGCAGGCTCCCTGAAGGCAGGAAGCCTGATGCGGGGCTCAATCCCAGGACCCCAAGATCATGACCTGAGCTGGAGGCAGATGCTTAACCAACTGAGCCACCCAGTTGCCCCAGGACCTGTGTCTTTCTTATAACCAACAAACACCATAAAGGTGATTAGATGTCATTCCCATGATCATATTATATTGTAAAGTCTCTGTATTAGTAGACTGGAATTAGAATTTCTCTGTTGTGCTGTAAAGGTAACTATAGAGAGAGCGGCATGGCAATGAATTGTAGGCAGCACCTAGAATTTGTGAGCAGCTCTCAGATAAGACTCAACAAGAAAACAAAAACCTCAGTCTTCTGCCAACAACCCGAGGGTGCTTATATGTCCCCAGTCAAGCCTGTGATGAGACTGCATCCCATCCTGACATCTGGATTTTAACCTGGTCATACCTTAAGGCAGAGAGCCCAGCTAAATTGTGCTTATACTTCTGACACACAGAAAGAGTGAGCTAATAAATGTGTGTTGTTTTAAGCCTATACATTGTAATTTGTTACACAGCAGTAGAAAACTAATATAAAAACCATAGACAGAAAATATGGAAAAGCAAAATTTGGTCAAATATAAGGACACACAACTGATAAATTGTTGAACACTACATCTGAAACTAATGATGTACTATGTGTTGACTAATTAAATTTAAATTAAAAAATATTTAAGGAAGACATGATCTTAAATAGAGCTGTCTAAAAATGAAATGAACTTCATCCAAGAATACTAAATTCTTCATTGCTGGAAGGGTTTAAGTGGTGCAAATGTTGTAGTGTATCATATTGAAGTGGTGATCTTCACAGGGCTCTTTCTACATTAAAAATGACATGGTTTTAAGTACTCAGTATCACCAATGACCTAGGACAGTAAGTCCTATAGATAAATACAAACAATGTCTGCTTACACAACTAACGTTGCTGTCAACATTCGTATTCTCAGTCAACAGAAGATCATTTAACTGGGCCATTTGCTTTTAAAGTCCAAAATAAAGATACAAAGAAAAAACTCTTTGCATATTATTTTTTTTAAAGCGCAACATAGTAGTATTTGGGTTAAAAAGCAATTATATTCATAAAACTTCATGCTTTCAACAATTCTAAGAAATGATTTAAAAAAAAAAACCACTATACCCACATAGCCTGGTTCTGGTGCCAGAAGGAGGTAGATAATTTTAAAAATTACCAAATGAAAATGTAAGATAACACTGAGAGAAAATATCTGTGGATCTATCTCTGGATAAAGGACTTGTATCCAGAATATATTAAAAAGAAATTTCTACAACTCAATCATAAGGACACGAACAACCCAGTTAACACTTGGGCAAAATATTTGAATAGACATTTCTCCACAGAAGCTATTCAAATAGCTAATAAGCACCTGAAAATGTACTTAACATCATTAGTCACTAGGGAAAAGATGAACTAAAACCACAATCAGCTCTCACTTTACACCCACAAGGATGGCTACAGTAAAAACGACAGGAACAATTGCTGACAAGGAGAGAGAGAAACAATGAGCCATTGTGCATTTCTGATGGGAATGTGAAGCGGTACAGCCCTTTTGGAAAAATAGTTTGGCAGTTTCTTAAAAAATTAAGCATAGATTTACCATACAACCCAGCAATTTTGCTGCTACAGATCTACTTAGGATACCAGAACTGGAAACATAGGCCTGCCCAAAAACCTGTATGAGAATGCTCATAACAGCATTATTCATGATAGATGAAAAATCAAAACAACCCAAATATTCATCTACCAATAAATGCAGAACTCCAATGTGATATACCCACACAACAGAATACTCTTTAGCAATAAAAAGGAAGGAAGTACTTACACATGCTGTCATGTGGATGGACCTCTACAGCATTATGCTAAGTGAGAGAAGCCAGATGGAAGACCATATATGGTACATGGCCGTTTCTTTGAAAATTCCATAAATTCAAATATATAGACAGAAAATATATTAAGTGATCATCTGGAGCAGGGTGTTGGAATGGGCGAAACTGAAATGGGCACAAGGGATATTTTTGCATGACAGGAATGTTCTGAAATTGGACTTTGGTGATGGTTGCATGAGTCTATAAATTTGCTAAGAGTCACTAAATTCTTCACTTTAAATAGGTAAATTTTATGGTATGTAAATTATACCTTAATAAAACCATTTTTAAGAAATGCCTCCTTCTAAAATACTATCTACTAGATATTAACCTTATTTGAAAGTAGGGATACACAAATGGTCTCAGGGACTCCTGCCCACGAAGTGTAGGATCTAGTTGGGTTCAAAAGCAAATCTCATGAATTCAGGCTTCCATCATTTTGGTGGGGAACAGGAAGAAGACAATTGATGTTTGTCCCAAGGGAAAGTATTTGAAAGCAAGTTTACCACATACATAAGTTAACGAGGGCAGTGTTGTAATGTTTGCAAAGAATAACATTTTCAATTCCCTATGGGTACTTTAAAAGCACCCGTTTTAACATGAGGATCACTGATATAAAGTATCCTTACACAACAGATGAGCAGATCTTTTCACATCCCTGCAGCGTGATATTTGATAGCATAATTTGACTTCTGCATTTAAATTTTTAAAATACCATCTAATCCAGACACCTTATTATCAGATAGGTCTTTCCACTTCCACCCAAGTTTGTTTAAATGAGAGCCATTCATAGCACATTTCTGGAATTATTAATCAAATTAAACCATGACCAAGGATATGTACACACAAATCATGCACTGACACATTCTAAGGAACAGAGGCTATGTAAGTAACTAAAAACACTTATTTAACTTTTGGTAAATAAGGAAAAACATTTTTGTCCCTAACATTGCAATTATGTACCTGGAATGAGATGGGCCTCTTTCCTGGGAAGTCTGGGAGGACAGACTTCCATCGAAGGAGTTTCCTCGGTGGCAGCCTGAAATGGTGGCCTTGGGTGACATGGGATCTGACTGGAAAGTTTCACAGACCACCTGGAGTCCCTTTTGGAGGTGGAGATAACAAATTAGTTCTTCTTTCTTTCTTTTTTTTTCCTTCAGGTATATCTTCTATAATTAACTACCATATTACATACATTGTTTTTTAAAATTGAACATTTTTCTTTATAGCATAGCTAACCACAAGGTCAGAGACCAAATGATTTTGTGTTCATCTAAGAGCAAATGGAAAAAGACTTCTAGAGAGCCATGTATGTTATTTTAAGCATTCAGCTGAGTACTTCCATAAACTTTATTTCATTTTGCCCCTGATTCTTTTCTTTTTCATCTCCAGATACCCAGGATCTATAGAAAAGTTACAAACTACCAACTCATCAAAGATATGCCAATACTGAGATGAGCTGAGTAAGGCCTGAGCTGGAAACCAGGTTAGTAAGAGCTGATCGAACTAAAGCCAGAAAATGAGAATCGAAGCACAAGGTTCAGGTTTTTCTGTCACTCATTAAAGGAGAATGGGATACATTTTTTCAATTGAAGACAATGACCTTTATTCTGATTTGTTAAGCACAAATGCAGCCATTCTCTTAAAGAGTAGCTTATTTTAATGACATTTAGCTAATATATATAACTCTGCTCAGGTAAGAGGGCATTGTCTTTCGATGGGTATTACAGATAAAATTCTCCATTATGTACAAAGACCCTCAAAAAATTATCATAGAATTTAAGTCCTCATAATTTCTATTTTCTTATGTAAAATAAGAAAGCACTGTCCAACCATGATGCATAGAGAGACAAATACAGCTAGAAAGTTCATAAATGAGTCCTCTGAACTAGATCAGAGAATCCCCTAGTATGAGCATACTATGTGTGCTTCATGTTAGGTAATTTGGGTGATAGATAATAGATGAATCTGAACCTTGAAATCAAGAACCTACAGTTAAGTTTTAAGATGAATATAGATTAGAATAGCACTCTCAATAGAAATATAATACAAGCCACAAACATGAGACACATATCCAGCTTTAAAAGTAGTAGAAATCTGTGAAATTTTAAATTATATTCTGTTTAACCCCAAATTATCATCTAAACATATAATCAATATAAACATTATCATTAAGATATACATTCTTTTTTCATATTAAGTAGTCAAAATACGGTATGTATTTGATACTTACAACACATCTCAATTCAAACTAGCCTTGTTTCAAGTGTTCAAGGACTACAATGGGCCTCGTGGCTACCATATTGGGCAGTGCAGATTTAGAGTAATTAGACAGGAGTTCATGGGGGAGTTGAGATATTAATTGGTGTTTAGAAGAAAGATAAAATTTAGACAGGCAACAAGGAGGAAAGATAGCAGTCCACATAAAGGAGACAGTCTGAGCAAAGACCCAGAGGCTAAAGTACATGCTCAATATATTAGAAGCAGTGATTAACTAACTGAAAGGGTAAACAAGATCACTTAAGAAAAATGATGCCAGATGGTAGAAGGTACAGAGAAACAGGGAGAAGAGATTGGTCTGGAGGTGACAGTACAAGAAATCCACTATAGGTTCCTAGGGAGAAAGGGATATAGGGAAAAGATGGCAACCTTGCCTATAATAAGCTTTTGTGGAATGATGAGTTAATAAATAAATGATGCATTAGGAAGATTAGTCAGGCATTTAAAAAATTTTTTTAAATTATTTTTATAAACATATAATGTATTATTTGCCCCACGGGTATAGGTCTGTGAATCCTCAGGCTTACACATTTCACAGCACTCTCCATAGCACATACCCTCCCCAATGTCCATAACACAACCACTCTCTCCATATCCCTTCCCCAGCAACCTTCAGTTTGTATTGTGAGATTAACAGTCTCTTATGGTTCGTCTCCCTCCCGATCCCATCTTGTTTCATTTTTCCCTTCCCTACTACCCAAACCCCCCACTCTCCCTCTCAAATACCTCATATCAGAGACATCATATGATAGTTGTTTTTGTCTGATTGATTTTTTTAACTCAGCATAATACCCTCTAGTATCATCCACGTTGTTGCAAAGGGCAAGAGTTCATTTTTTGATGGCTGCATAGTATTCCATTATATATACCACATCCTCTTTATCCATTCATCTGTTGATGGACATCTAAGTTCTTTCCATAGTTTGGCTATTGTGGACATTGCTGCTATAAACATTCAGGTGCATGTGCCCCTTCAGATCACTACTTTTGTATCTTTAGGATAAAAACCCAGTCGTGTGATTGCTGGGTCATAGGGAAGCTCTATTTCCAACTTTCTGAGGAACCTCCGTGCCGTTTTCCAGAGTGCCTGCACCAGCTTGCATTCCCACCAACAGTGTAGGAGGGTTCCCTTTCTCCGCATCCTCTCCAACATCTGTCGTTTCCCGACTTGTTAATTTTAGCCATTCTGACTGGCGCGAGGTGGTATCTCATTCTGGTTTTGATTTGTATTTCCCTGATGCCGAGTCATGTGGAGCACTTTTTCATGTCTGTTGGCCATCTGGATGTCTTCTTTGCAGAAATGTCTGTTCATGTCCTCTGCCCATTTCTTGATTGGATTATTTCTTCTTTGGGTGTTGAGTCTGCTAAGTTCTTTATAGATTTTGGACACTAGCCCTTTATCTGATATGTCATTTGCCAATATCTTCTCCCATTCTGTCAATTGTCTTTTGGTTTTGTTGACTGTTTCCTTTGCTGTTCAAAAGCTTTTGATCTTAAAGAAGTCCCAATAGTTCATTTTTGCCCTTGCTGCCCTTGCCTTTGGCGATGTGTCTACCGAGAAGTAGCTGCAGGTGAGGTCGACGAGGTTGCTACCTGTGTTCTCCTCAAGGATTTCAAAGGATTCCTGTCTCACATTGAGGTCCTTCATCCATTTTGAGTCTATTTTTTGTGTGTGGTGTAAGGAAATGGTCCAGTTTCATTCTTCTGCATGTGGCTGTCCAATTATCCCAACACCATTTGTTGAAGAGAGTGTCTTTTTTCCATTGGACATTCTTTCCTGCTTTGTCGAAGATTAGTTGACCATAGAGTTGAGGGTCCATTTCTGGGCTCTCTATTCTGTTCCACTGATCTCTGTGTCTGTTTTTGTGCCAGTACCATACTGTCTTGATGATGACAGCTTTGTAATAGAGCTTGAAGTCTGGAATTGTGATGCCACCAACTTTGGCTTTCTTCTTCAACATTCCTCTGGCTATTTGGGGCCTTTTCTAGTTCCATATAAATTTTAGGATTATTTGTTCCATTTCTTTGGGGAAAAAAATGGATGATATTTTGATTGGGATTGCATTAAATGTGTAGATGGCTTTAGGTAGCATAGACATTTTCATAATATTTGTTCTTCCAATCCATGAGCATGGAGCATTCTTTCATTTCTAGGTGTCTTCCTCAATTTCTGGCATGAGTACTTTATAGTTTCCTGAGTACAGATTCTTTGACTCTTTGGTTAGGTTTACTGCTAGTTATCTTATGGTTTTGGGTGCAATTATAAATGGGATCGACTCCTTATTTTCTCTTTCTTCTGTTTTGCTGTGGGTATATAGAAATGCAACTGTTTTCTGAGCATTGATTTTTATATCCTGTCACTTTACTGAATTGCTGTATGAGTTCTAGCAGTTTTGGAGTGGAGTCTTTTGGGTTTTCTACATAAAGTATCATATCATCTGCAAAGACTGAGAGTTTGACTTCTTCTTTCTTGATTCAGAAGCTTTTTATTGCTTTTTGTTGTCTGATTGCTGAGGTTAGGACTTCTAGTACTATGTTGAATAGCAGTGGTGGTAACTGACATTGCTGCCATGTTCCTGACCTTAGGGAAAAGCTCGCAGTTTTTGCCCATTGAGAATTAATTCACTGTGGGTTTTTCATAGATGGCTTTGAAGATATTGAGGTATATACCCTCTATCCCTACACTTTGAAGAGTTTTGATCAAGAAAGGATGCTGTACTTTGTCAAATGCTTTTTCAGCATCTATGGAGAGTATCATATCGTTCTTGTTTTTTCTTTTATTAATGTATTGTATCACATTGATTCATGTACGGATGTTGAACCAAACTTGTAGCCCAGGAATAAATCCCACTTGGTCGTGGTGAATAACCTTCTTAATGTACTGTTGGATCCTGTTGGCTAGTATTTTGGTAAGAATTTTCACATCTGTGTTCATCAAGGGCATTGGTCTCTAATTCTCCTTTTTGGCAGGGTCTTTGTCTGGTTTTGGGACCAAGGTAATGCTGGCCTCATAAAATGAGTTTGGGAGTTTTCCTTCCATTTCTATTTTTTGGAACAGTTTCAGGAGAATAGGTATTAATTCTTCTTTAAATGTTTGGTAGAATTCCCCTGGGATAGTCAGGCATTATTAAGTGATATTTATGTGAAGCAGGAGAGGCTAGAGGTAGAAACATCCAATTAGGTGGTTCCAACTGCAATCTAGTTATGAGGACCTGGATTTAGAAGGTAGTTTCGGGTGTAGAGAATAAAGAACACACCTGAGCAACATAACAAGATAAAACAATATGACTCAGCAAGAAATCAAATTGAGAGGAGGAAGGAGAATGAAATAGGAGACATATTTGTTGTCTCTAAGAGGTCATCAGTTATAAGACACCATTATTTTATATTCAATTAAGAAAAAACTCTGTTAATTAAACTAGGACCCCTTACCAGTGAGGACTTTTTCTAATATATTTATTAAAAGCACTATCTTAGACTTATTTAGGCATAGTTTTTGATTATATATTCATCCTGTGTATATGTTAAAAGGAAGATACAAGTGAAATAAATTGGTAGAGGTATTCTTGAAATTTCTAAATTTAAAATTAGAGTTTTTGACACATGTTTTTCCACAGAGTAACTTTCTCTGTGTCTTAAATGTTATTTCTTCAAAGAGTGCTCTGCTATTCCCTCTGATATATTCTTCTAAGTCACTGATCCCGATTCTGCAAAGTTAGATGCTGGAAATGATAAATTCATGCTACGCAACCTTATGAAAATGACAACTTATCAATACTGCTACCAGGCAGGGAGGTTTTAAGAAACCAAAGATCATCAAACATATGATTTCAAATATTAAAAGTGAAAAAAAATTTATCTTAGAATAGATAAAGCAGATAAATCAGTGTCTGTACTTAGTAAATGTTCAGGAAACAGTAGATATAATAGGACTCCAAAATTTGTTGTTTTGAGGGGAGAAAGGATGATGGCACTAGTGAGAGTAATACATCAGTTAGAAAGAGGATCCAATGTTGCCAGAAAGCAGAAAATTATTTTGCACAAGTTGAACTGGAAGTGAAAGTAGCTCATCTAGAAATACACTAAATTAATGGCAGTATACATAACCATGTGGCTTTGAACTACCCTAGTCCTCATTTCTTTCTTTTCCAAACCAAAGAATGCATGAATAAAATTTTCACAGAATTATATTCTTTTTTTATTATGCATATTCTCTTTTATGTGGATTCATTTTGATGTTTCATTAAACTTTGGATTTTTTTTTAAAGATTTTATTTGTTTATTTGACAGATAGAGATCACAAGTATGCAGAGAGGCAGGCAGAGAGAGAGGGGGAAGCAGGCTCCCCGCTGAGCCAAGAGCCCGATGCAGGGCTCGATCCCAGGACCCTGGGATCATGACCTGAGCCAAAGGCAGAGGCTTTAACCCACTGAGCCACCCAGGTGCCCCTAAACTTTAGATTTCTTAAAGGATAAGACTATCTATACCTTATGCCTTCTTTCTACTCCTTCCTCCCACCTGCTCCAGCATTATCTTAGCTATATTACGCTTGCCTAAAGAATATTAAGGAGATTTTTTTCTTTCTTTTTAAGATTTTAAGATTTCATTTATTTATTTGTCAGAGGGAGACAGAGAGAGAACACCAGCACAGGGAAAGGCAAGCAGAAGGGGAAGCAGCTGAGCAAGGAGCCCAATGCAGAACTCAATCCCAGGACCCTGGGGAAGCCAGGGCAGATACTTAACCGACTGAGTGACCCAAGCATCCCAGATATTAAGGAGATTTAATAATTGAGAACAAGATGACACTTTAATTAATGTAGGAGGAATAATGATAACTAACACTTATTGAATGTTACACACTAGCCATTGAAGTAAAGCACTATTTATTACACATTAACAGTTGGGATAGATCACTACTGATCACACACGAGTCATTGAGAAAACGCCACTGATTACCCACTTGCCACAAAGATAAAACACAGTTATACATGCTCTTGTCTCAGCACTCCCACCCTGGATAAGTGCCTAAAGTTATTTTCCATATTTGACAGAAAACCAGAGACTACTTAAAGTTTTATATTCACCAACAGGAACTTGTTTTGAAAGCAAGTAGTGTCATTCTAGAGCACGTCTTATCCTTCATACTACACTACAGCCAGGAAATGACACCTCCTTTCTTCCCACAATCACAATACACTCACCTCTCGATGTCTTGCATCTTGATTTGGTGATTCACAGGTTTGACTTTGACTGTTGATAGGAGAGCTTCTCTTAGCTGCCATGATGGGGGAAATACCATCACAAATTTTATAAGATTATGATAAATAAGCTCATTTTATTTCACCAGTGCATTTCTTTAAAAAAAAAATCATTTTAACATATCATTATCAGCTTGAAAGAAAACATTTAATATACTCTTTTGCAAGAAGAATCAAATAACCAATTAAAAATCCTTCACATTTCTAGGTTATCATAAAAATATAGATTTGTTCATCTATTCAGGCTGACTCAATGGGCTATGGTGCTAAAAAGTTGACAATACTAAAAATAATAACAGTTAACATCTATATAGAACTAAGTATCTGTCACATCCTTTTAAAAACATTTCTTGTATACAGTACTCCCCTCTTATCTGTGGGGATCTCTTCCAAATGGATGCCTCAAACTGTGGCTACTACTGAACCCTACCTATACTGTTTTTTTCCTACATATACTTACCTATAATAAAGTTTAACTTATAAATCACACATAGTAAGAGATTAACAACAATCACTAATAATGAAATTGAAGGATTACAACAATATACCGTAATAGAAGTTATGTGAATGTGGTCTCTTTCTCTCTTTTTCAAAATACTTTATTGTACTGCATTCACCCTTCTTGTGATGATGTGAGATGATAAAATGCCTATGTGAAGAGATGAAGTGAGGTCAAGGACATAGGCGTTGTGACGTAGTATTAATTACTGACGCCTGATGATTTGTCAGAAGGAGAATTAAATCATCTGAGTTTGGACCATGGGGAATTGAAGTTGCAGAAAGTGAAACCACAGATGGGGGGGAGGGACTACTGTCTCAAATCATTTAACCCTTACAATAACCTATCATAACATATGGACTACTATTAGACCCCTTTTACAGATAAAGATACTAAGGCACAGGGAGTTTAACTTGCCCAAGATCATTTGACTCTCACTTGAAGGTTCAAGCCCAGGCTTTCTGGCTTCAGGGTCTGTGCATTTATGAGCACATTAAGCTCACATCAAGCTTCCCCTACGGCAAGATTCAAATCAATTATGACTTTTCCTGAGGACTGGGAACAGTGGGGAGTGAAGCTGGCCGTGCCACATGAGAACTGTGAGCAAACTGATGCTGAGAAAGGGATTTACTGAGGTCACAAAACAATAGACCCAGCGAATGCCACCTACATGCCACTGCTTTCTCTTCTGGCCATGTGTCTGAGCTGAGTTTAATTTCACTTCAGAAGCTGGGCACTGTTTCACCTCCACAGGTATCAGGTAGATGGGAAAGAACCCACTGTGAATATCATCCAGAAGCAAGGGATGGTAACGTGAACAGCCCCAGTGATTCATGAGGGACACGATTTCTTAATAATTTTAATGCATCTGTTAAATGATAGTTTACGTATTAATGAGAAAGAGAGATGAAGAGAGAGACCTAAATGCGAAGTGACCTCTTTATTCAAAAGGAAAGTGATGACTTAAAAATATGAAAAAAAATTCTTAGTCAACATAAAGATGTCTTTTCCAGTAATAGTTTTGTTTTACTGTAACATATTTTATTTTCTTCTTATTTCTATTGTTTTCAGTTTTTTTAACCTTGTACATCCATCTTCACTTTCAGATGGTTTTAATTTGATGAAATTAACCTCATTCCCTCCATGGAATCTGAAGTAGATCACTTCTGGCTATGACATTTTTATACAGTTAGTCCCTTGCGATTTGAACCTTATGACAGACTGTTACTCTTGAATTTACAACTTATTTCACTAGTTAATTGTATTGTACACATTAAATCTGGAATTAATCTACTTTTACATATGAAAAACTTCATCTTTTGTTTGAATTACAATAGTAAGCATGATTTGTCACTTCAAGCATCTTATCACATATATAAATAATATGGCACTCTTTTTTATAGAAAACACTTTAGCATATTATGCACCTTGCAAAGTTATGTTAAATTATAGGGGGAAAATACATAAGAACTTTTTGATGGTTTCCTTTCCATCTTTATATGTATAATCTTTTACTGTCTACAGAAAAATCGTGGGAACTAAGCAAATGATAGAGATATATTTATCTCATGCATCTATAGATGTACCACATAATTTATCTCTTTCTAGATGTTATTATCAATGCTAAAAGTTTTGTTGGAAATAGAAAGATGGAAGTTATTAAGCTATAAAATGGGTACCTTAGGTGGATTCTTACTTATTCCACACTATGAGACCATATAAGGTGGTATTTATTTTCTCCATTTTAAAGAAATAGGAATACTCAGGTTAGGTAATACCTCAGGTTAGGTATCTAGTAAGAGACAGATCTGGAATGAAACATCTGCTTTCCAGGTACTTTTCAAGCTATCATGTGTTAGTCTTTCTACAACTCACCAATAAGATTATTTTATTAGACATTTCCTGTAGTGAAACACTTTGATAGCAAATAAACATCAAGACAAGATTATTAAGGAGCTGTTACTTTGTCTACTATAATGATGATTATGATGATAAAATTATAACTACAGCTTATTCACTTACTATGTACCTGGCATTCTTCTAAACAATTTTACATAAATTAATTCATTTATTCTTCATAATAACCCATAAGTACTAGCAATATGATATTTTAACTCCTGTTTTACATATGAGGAAACTGAAGTGCAGGAAGTTAAAATGACTTCTCCAAAGCCACACAACTCGATGGCATGTGCCCCTGGTTTAGTTTCTCATCATGTGAGTGAGCCCTGGGCCTGGGGCACTAACATTCTCCCTGGAGGAATTTTCTTCCTCTTGGTTTCTTAAGGGCAAATCATTGCATCACCTTTACTCCTGCATGCGAGGGAGTCTGCTACCCCTGTTCCACTGGACGTCCAAGTTACGAACCTGTAATGATGTTCCTGATGGGCTTCACCAGTGCTGTGAAGCCAGAGACTTCGGGCTGTCTGTGCTCCCACATGGGCTGCCATATAACAAGCCCACTGGCCAGTCGGAAGGTTAGGTCAGATTCCTGAGGGAAGAGAAGGTTTATATCTAATACCTGGCTTGTAACTGGTTGAAAGGCCCAGTCATTGCAGTGATTAGTATCATTCATAAGATTATTGTCAAAGTAGGTGATCTTCTAGACCCTCTTTCATCACTCAGATGAGGGTTTCTAGGGTAAACCAGTAGCCCTAAGTTATCATCACAATTACTATGGAAACCACAGTGGTCTGCTTTTGGCAAAATTAATAATTAAAATGGAGCTTTGGACAAAGCATAAAACACAAATTATTGTTTTCTGTTAGCAGTGATCAAGGCCTGTTTATTTCAAGAGTCTTGGCAGACCTCTTGTGGTTATCATTATTATTCCTCTTAATTATTTAATTGTCCTTCTTTCTCCCTCTTAAATCAATATCCTCAGATACGGCTATTTTGACTTTCTGTTCTCCTGGCCGTCTTTTGTCTTTGCTTCATGGAATCAGGAACGTATATTTAGACCTTCCTAGTATATTGTTTTGTAATGTTACCTTCTCAAAAATCTTTAATTCCTTGAGGGTCTATCAGGCATTCTCCCCCTTCCACAGCACCTGGCATCATCACAACACTTAACACAGCATTAGAAATTGGGTACACAATAGGAGCTCAACAAGCACTTGCTGAATTACACTGACCTTACAATCCATACTCATTCAGTTTATCTACAATTTAAAGTCTCTTCCAGGGAAAACATTCTCTGCTTCATCATGACATCATTTTGAGAGGTTGAGATGTTTAAAATGCAATCTCATATTTTTTAAGTACAAATATATGACACTCTGAGATTAAAACAACTCAGCCACAAACTGGAATTAAAATTAAAAAGAAAGAAGAAATAGAATAAAGAAATTAAACAACTCAGCCCCTCAAAAAGAAAAAGATGGAAGCAGAGAATGTGATTACAGATTAATAAACACAACGGAGACCCAGGAATTCACTCGGGGCAGGGATTTGCAACCCTAGCTTACATATTATAATCACCTAAGGAGCTGTTAAAACCTAGGAGGTCCAGGTCTCAACTCCTTCCCTTGCCCAAAACAATTAAATTAGAATCGCTCTGAAGTTCTCTGCTGACTTTCACGTGTAGCCATGGTTGAAAACCACTGATCTATGGGGCGCTTGGGTGGCTGAGTGGGTTAAAGACTCTGCTTTCAGCTCAGGTCATGATCCCAGGGTTCTGGGATCAAGCCCAACATCGGGCTCTCTGCTGGGTGGGAGCCTACTCCCCCCCACCACCCCTGCCTGCCTCTCTGCCTACTTGTGATCTCTGTCAAATAAATAAACAAAATCTTAAAAAAAAAAAAAAAGGAAAGAAAGAGAGAAAGAAAGAAAGAAAGAAAGAAAGCCACTGATCTAGAAGAATAAGAAGTAGGAATAAATTGGGAAAAATGAAAAGTGATCCAGCAAATGGTGAATCATTGTGGCTCAGTGTCAAGGAAACTTCAGCTGGAAAGGCTGGTGAAATCCACACATTGATACAGAGAAGCTTCAACTGTAAGCTATGGACTGGGATGCTGGGACTACAACAGGGCCCATGATGGGAAAGCATCTAGGACTCCCTGTGAAGGTATCAGGAAAGTACGTAAAGCACTTGGTCAAATTCTGTCAACATTCATTCTACAAATATTTATACACCACCTACTGCATACCTGGTACTACTCTACTCTGGGTTAGAATAGTGAACAAAGCATATTAAAGTCCCTGTTTTTCTAGGTGCAAAAGAAGAAGTAAAGCAGGCAATGGGTTGTATCTGCAAGGTGTTGAAATTTTAGATAGGATGACCAGGGGAAATCCTTGTTGTGAAAGTGGTTTTTGAGTAAAAAAGATCTAAATGAAATGAAGGAGCTGCCATGTAGATATTTTCAGAAAAAACTTTCCATGAGACGGGATCAGCAAGTGCGAAGGTCCTAAATTTGCCTGGTCTATCAAGAATAAGCCAGGAGACTGTGTATCTGGAGTCAAGTAAATAGCAGAAGAGTAGAAGGAAAAAGTAAGGTCAGAGAAGTTATTGAGTTCCAAATAATATAGCGCCTGATAGGTCATAGTAAGGGCTTCAGCAATTACTGAATAAGACGGAGAACCACGAGGGTTCTGAGTAGTGGCATGACATTACTGGATGTATGCTTGGTAGGATTACTGAGGCTATTAAGAATAGTTCGAGAAAGGGCAAAAGTGGAAAGAGAGACAGTTTAGGAAGCTATTATTATCATTAAGGTGGAAGATAATTACAGGAGAGAGTTTGTAGAGGGCGAAATGAACAGTGGTAGATTCTGGATACATTTTGAACACACAGTCTACAGCCTGGAAGTGGAAGGTGTGAGAAAGAGGTGTCAAAGGTTTTTGGCTTTGACAAAGATAGGCAAGATGAAGGAGGAGCAGCTTTGGGGATATCAGGAGTCTAGTTACAGACATGTTAAGTTTGAGATGCTTGTTAGACATTCAACAAAAGATACTGAGTAAACAGCTTGACAGACAGATTTAAAGATAAGGGAACATAATATTATGTATGGTGTTAGATCCAGCAAGCAGGGGATTAACAGAAAGCAAAGTGTATCAGGTTTGTTTCTAGAATTTCAGGAAGCCAAACTTCAATTGACCTGGTTTTGATAGTTTCATAGCTTCTGAGCTCAGTCCTTTTCCATGGTCCTCATAAATAATCTTGGGACAAAATAAAATCCAGTGGACATTGCATCCAAAGGTAAGCTCTTTTATACTGAAACCCGGGCCTTTAACACTGGCCCTACCGATGTTAGCACTCACTGAGAGTTATTATTTTGCTTTCTTTGATGTATTTCCAAATAGATTGTATATTTATTGGAGACAAATTGAGATCTTCTGTGCATTTCTCCTTGAGCATCAATACAAACTATCTGAAGATAGTTTACATTTCACAAGTAACACAAACTAAATCAAATCATTCTTTAGACTTGAACACTTGCAGAATGCATGGCCTTTTCTTATGTGGCTATGTTCCTTTGTAAGTCCTTTACAGTTGGTTGAATACATAAGCTCTGGGACCCTAATTTCTCTTCTGGAGTCCCCTTTCGTGGGTCATATAATGTTATGTATGCAGTCATGGCCAAAAAGTTGATAGCTGGAAGAGACACTATCATTCAAGCAGCTGTGGGGCAGGTGGTCTAGTAAGGTCCTTAGAAAAACCAGAAGACACAGACACTAGTAGAACCAATAGCTCCACATCTCAGTTGCGTTTCTTGCTTTCACCAAAAGCCTGTTTTCTTGATGGCATGAAATTCTAAATATGTCCACCAGTAGTTTAGACAAATCAAGGTTAAAAATTAATATTATTTTAAATTTTAAAGTTGTTTACTTCAAACATTTTTTAAAACATTTTATAAAAACCTCATTGAGGCTTGGATTTTTATTCCTTGCTATTTTGCTAGCACTCTGAGTAGTGCCTCTCATAGACCAGGCACTCAATAAATATTTTTTAAAGGAATAAGTACATATGCAAATAAGTGCACTAAATTCCTTAGTTATAATAAATACCCAGAATTTTTCACCAAATTAAATTTAGTTGAAAATAATCTATTTGACAGAATTTTTAGATTTATTTCATGTGACATATTTGAGGCAGTTATAAATTAAAATCAGAGAATCAATGTACAGAAACCTGTTGTATTTCTATACACAGATAATGAAGCAGCAGGAACAGAAATTAAGAAAACAATCCCATTTATAATCGCACCCAAAATAATCAAGTGCCAAGGAATGAACTTTACCAAAGAAGCAAAAAAAACAGCACTCTGAAAACTCTAAAACACTGATGAAAGAAATTGAAGAGGACACAAAGAAATGGAAAGATATTCCATGCTCATGGATTGTTAAAATGCCTTTACTATCCAAAGTTATCTACAGACTTAATACAATACCTATGATAATACCAACAGCATTTTTCACAGAACTGGAACAAACAACCCTAAAGTCTGTATGGACCACAGATGACCCTGAGGAGCCAAAGCAATCAGGAAGAAGAAAAACAAAACTGGAGGTATCACAATCCCAGATTTCAAGTTATACTACAAAGCTATTGTAATCAAAACAGTATGGTACTGGCACAAAGATACATAGATAAATGGAATAGTATGGAAAACCCAGAATTAAACCCACAATTACATGGTCAATTAATCTTCAACAAAGGAGGAAAGACTACGCAATGGGAAAAAGATAGTCTCTTCAACAAATGGTACTGGGAAAACTGGACAACAACATGCTGAAGAATGATAGTGGATCACTTTCTTACACTAAAATAAACTCAAAATGGATTAAGGACCAAAATGAATTAAGGATCTAAAACCACAAAAATCCTAAAAGAGAACACAGGCAGCAATGTCTCTGCCATCAGCCATAACAACATTTTTCTAGATGTGTCTCCTGAGGCAAGGGAAATAAAAGCAAAATTAAACTTTCAGGACTACATCAAAATAAAAAGTTTCTACACAGTGAAGGAAACAACCAACAAAATTAAAAGACAACCTACTGAATGGGAGAAGATATTTGCAAATGATGTATTGGATAAAGGATTAGTATCCAAAACATATAAAGAACTTATAAAACTCAACACCCCAAAAATAAGAAATCCAATCAAAAGACAGGCAGAAGACATGAATAGACATTTCTCCAAAGATGACATACAGATGGCCAATAAATATGTGAAAAGACGCTCAACCTCACACACCACCAGGGAAATGTAAATCAAAACCACAATGAGATATCACCTCACACCTGTCAGAATGGCTAAAATCAAAAACACAAGAAAAAAACAAGTGTCGGTGAGGATGTGAAGAAAAAGGAACCCTCTCACACTGTTGGTAGGAATGTAAACTTGTGCGGCCACTGTGAAAAACAGTATGAAAGTTCCTCAAAACATTAAAACTAGAACTATTCTATGATCCAGTAGTCACACTACTGGGTACTTACCCAATCAGCCAATCAATCAATCAATCAATCAATAGTTCAAAGGGATACATGTGTCTCTATATTTTTTGCAGTATTATTTACTATAGCCAGATTATGGAAGTGGCCCAAGTATCCATCAATGGATGAGGGGATAAAGAAGATGTGGTATAGAGACATGATGGACTATTATCAGCCACAAAAAAGAGTGGAATCTTGCTGTTTGCAAGGACGTGGTTGGAGCTGGAGAATATGGTGCTAAGTGAAATAAGTCAGAGAAAGACAAATATACGATTTCACTCATGTGGAATTTAAGAAAAAAAAATAAATGAACAAAGAAAAAGAGAGAGGATGAGACAAATTAAGAAACACTTTTAACTATAGAGAACAAATGGATGATTACCAGAGGGGTGGGGGAGGGGCTTAGGGGATGGTGAAATAGGTGATAGGGACGAAGGGGTGCACTTGCTGTGGTGAGTACTAGGTGATGTATGGAATTGTTGAATCCCTCTACTGCACACCTGAAATCAATATAACACTGTATGTTAACCATACTGAAATTAAAATAAGAACTTAATTAAAAGAGAAAAACATGCATTGAACTATACACTGTCTTCCAGAAAGATGAGTCATTTTATTAATTTGCTAATTAATGAGTTAATTCATTCAACAAATATTAAGCCCATAACATTGTCTGCGTAGGTGCTGATAGGCAACTCGAGGGAGTGGTGTCAAGAAAAGGAATGCCAAGTGGTACAGCACACAGGGGTTGGAGATGACAATTTTATAGAAAGACCAGTCTGAATGGTTATATGGTCTTCCCCCAGGAGCAAGCAGGTATCTGGGGCAGGGGTGGAAAAAATGGATTTTGGTCATGACTTGGGGTTAACATTTTGAAGGGCAAATGCAAAGGAAGGATAGATAGGGGAAAAGGACATTAATGGTGCTGGTGAGGAGCAGTTCACATGTGTATGGTGTGGGTAGAAAAGTGGAGACAGACAGGGTCTGATGAGCAGCAGGCCAATGAAAGACTGAAGGCAGTGATTCTCAATCAGGGGCAATTCTCACCCCCTTCCCACCCACTGGGGACACCTAGCAATGTCTGGAGTCATTTGGGCCATCACAGCTCAGAGGGAGGAGGTGTTCCTGGTATCTGGTGAGTAGGGGCCAGAAAAGCTACTGATATCCTACAAGGCACAAGGCAATGTCTCACAAGAAAGAATCATCTGGCCCAAAATACCAACAGTGCCAAGGCTGAGAAACCCTGGTCTAGGGGTTGTATATTCCCTATCTACATTTAAGAAAGCAAACACCTTGCTCAGAAGGAAAAAGCCTTTTGGAGAAATTTATTGACTCATTAATATTTTTTATTCCCTATAGCATCTGGAACAATATTTCCTTCACAGAGATAATAAAATGATGAAATAATAATATGCTAGTAAAAACAGCTAATAATAACAGTTTATTAGGATTTAATCACTGTACCATGTCTTATATGCATTGTCTTCTTCCCTTATAAATTCTCTAATTACTCCCTCATAAATCTTCCAGGTTATAAGTAAAACTTGAGGGTCTTGAGCCAGAAACTGTCTGTTTAGTCTCTCCTGGAAGAGAATCTGGCTCCCTTTCTACTAATAATACAAAATACTAATAACGAAAAAATGGCATCACTAAAAGCAACTCACATTTGTTAAGGCTCTTGTATGTATAATGTTGAGCATTATCATGTTTCATCACAATACCTCATAAAACTATTCGTACGTCCAACTAATACATGAGGGAAACTGAGGCTTCAGTTTCTAAGCCTCATAGTCACATAGTAGGAAGCAGCAAACGTGTGATTCAAATGCAAGCCTGTTTCCAAAACTTAGACTCTCAGTCATGTCTTCAAATAAAATTACAGCCATTCCAGTCATTTCTGCACTTCCACATTTTTTAATCCAGAGGATATCTGTCCACAGGTAGAAATCTTTACGGGCTCATTGTTTAAAGAAACCTTCTTTCCTGTCCTCTCCATTTTAAGGACAATGTACCTACATATAATCACTACTCGTAGCACCTGGTTTATTCAATGAGACACCTATTAAATATTTATTAAGTGCCCCATTTTTGGCAGACACTAGACACTGGAAATACAGTGTGACCTTGACAGGCAATGTCCTTTTGCTCAACAACTCTGTTCTAGGGGAAAAAAGGGCAATAGATACGCAAACAACCACAGAAAATAATTTTGGATACTTGTAAATGCAAAGAGGGAAAAAAGAAAAAGGATAGTCATGTATTAGTGACACAAAAGTCATCAGGAAAATTCTTTCTGAGGTGGTAACATTTGAGTTGTGAGTAAACTGATGAGACAGATATGGCCATATGAAAATTTAGGGGAGGAGGCAGAGGTCGTTGCTTCTTTCTTTCTTTTTTTTTTTTAAGATTTTATTTATTTATTTGACAGACAGAGATCACAAGTAGGCAGAGAGGCAGGAGGTGGAGGCAGGCTCCCTGCGGAGCAGAGAGCCTGATGCGGGGCTCGATCCCAAGACCCTGGGATCATGACCTGAGCTGAAGGCAGAGGCTTTAACCCACTGAGCCACCCAGGCGCCCCAAGGTCGTTGTTTCAAACAGAAAGAAAAACAAGTGCATTACTTGAAAGCAAGGATGAATGTGCGGGTGAGCCCCACTGAACCTGGAGGTTAGTGCAAGAGAGAAAAGATATTGGCGCGGCAGGAGGCGGGGCCAAGAAGATGGGCAGGAGCTTGGACCAGCTAGTCCCGCAAACCAGGGAATGGTCTGAATTAATGCTTTTGAGTAAGCGTAACCATCATAAAAGACTTTTTAAAATGGAAAGTCAAATATTTTAAAGCAGCTATTTAATTTGATTTCACAACATTTGAAATTTTTAGTATGTTTCATGAGCAATATTACCAGTGCATGCAAAGCATTTTGGAAATTTACAGGTAATTTCAATTCTATTCCTGGCAGCAATGGGACAGTGTCAAGCGAAAGTGAACTTTAACTAAAACTAAAAGGAGTGAAAAGATTCACTTCATTCTCCTAATAGTGATTATTAATGGTCTTACAACCACCTACATATACATATGTACACACACTCACATACATACATAAATACATATAACTCGAATCATTTATTAGGATCTTATTAGTCTATTAAAGAACACTTGAGTATAACAATTTCTTCTTTTCTCTTAACTTAGCAGTCAGAGGGTATATCATAATTTTCATTTACAGAAATAACAAATACATCTTGATTTCTCTCCATGTGTGGGAACTATATTGTGTCCTCACATATATTCACCCTGTGTTAGAGGTATCCACAGTTGTATGCAATGGAGGATCCAAGAAGTTAAGTAGTATCACCATGATCACACAGCTAGAAAGTGGTGTGTTTTCACATAATTTCACATAATTTCAAATCATATTGTCTCCTTCAGACCCAAAGGGTACTTGTCTATAGTTACATTTTAGTACAATTGATTTCCATATCATCCTATGTTTTGTATTTATGCTTTAAGAAATATTTTGGAAAGCAATTCTTAGCTTGTATCACACTGTCTAGAAGTCCACGGCATAGAAGACATTTAGAACTTCTGCTCTAGACCTGCATTATAACAGACAGCTTACAAGGTACTGTAGAAATACAAAGGAGATAATGACTTAGTCTACATGGGGAGTTTCAGAGGAACAGCTTCATGGAAATGATGACATTGAAGTTGAGGTTTGAGGAGTCATCAGACGAGCAGAAGAAAGAAAGAGGACAGAGCGAATGGCAAGGGTATATTCAGGGAATGGCTCCCAGAGCTGGATCATGAAGATGCCAGTAGGGACTGGCAAATGATACATTAAAAGTTCCTTGACCTTATGTGCCATGTTTAATATGCTGGACATGATCTTGGGGCAGAAGGAGAACCTTTGAAGATTTTTAAGTAGATAATGATATGCAAGGAATTGTGTTTTGAAATCATAATCAGTGGTTTGATAATAGAAATAAATCTCTCCATATCTTGGCTTGCCACAAAATCTTATAAGACATGGACAATCAAATATGGAAATATGGAAACACCATTTGAAGCCCACCTCACCTCTATCCCCCCTCAGCCTAACACTAGCCCTCTCCTTACCTTGATCCTGTGTACCAGAGGAGCAAAGAGAAATACAAAGAGCTCTACAGTGGCCATGGAGTTCTGGAAGATCTTCCTTCGGTTGTTCTCTTCTTCATCATTGGAGCTGCTTTGACAAGGCTGCCCTGGTGAACCCTGGTTTTCTACCTGGTGGATGAATGCACTGCTGCTGCCACCCCAGCTGGAGCCACGGTCTGTGCCCCCAAACCGTTCACTGTTGCAGTCCTGGGGGGCCTCTAGGAGCATCCAGTGAAGGGTGTGAAGGAGCTTTGTCTCAGCAACACCCAGTTTATCTTGGTGGCCTGCATGGGGACAATCACATAGCCAGGTTAAGACAAACTCTGCTACCAGAACAATGGATATCAACTTTGGGTATAGAAAGAACATCCTTGCTTTGCTCTGCAGCTTGATTTCCTGGGACACACTAGCATTTCTCTATACTTCTTACATCCACGGCTGGAAGGGCACATTCTTTTTCTTTTTCTTTTTTTTTTTTTAAGATTTGTTTATTTATTTGTTTGTTTATTTGAGAGAGAATAAAAGCAAGAGCTCACAGAGGGAGAGGGAGAAGCAGACTCTCCACTGAGCAAGGAGCCAGATGCAAAGCTCAATCCTAGGACCCTGGGATCATGACCTGAGCCAAAGACAAATGCTTAACTGACTGAGTCACCCAGGAGCCCCTGGAAGGGCTCAGGGCTCATTCTTGTTTTAGGGCTTCCTAACTGGTTACAATCTCTGCAGAATAGCATAGTGTCGTAGGAGGAGAAACCGCATACATCCCCTCTCTTCAGGCAGATACCCATATATATCTCCAAATAGGCAGTGTGGTGGTTAAGAATCCAGGCTCTGAGGATAGCAACAACTTTACTTTAGACAGGGTGACCAAGAAACCCCTCTCTAAAGGTAACTATTGTGCAGAGACCCAAAAAAGGGCAAAGGACTGGATGGAAAACAGCACATGCGCGAACATGGGGTGGATGTTAGGATGTGTTACCACGTGAGAAAAGCAATTTCAAGAGAATCTTAAAAAAAAGGAAGAGTGTCTATGCACATGCATACACATACATAGAGTACTACAAAGTGCAAGAGGTCGCTTTAGGATTTGAGAGGCCCAAAGAGAAATCAGATTGGAACTCATCTCAGAGAGGTGATAGGCTTCAGCTTCCCTGCAATGTTTTAATGTTTAAAAGGAAAATATATTCACGTATTACTTGTAAAATTCAAGATTTAAGAATAAGAATGCCAGTTCCTTCATTGGTAAGATGGAGATCATAGTGGTACCCACGTGAGGGGGCATTTATGAGAACTGAATGAGATCATGTGTTCAGTTCCTGGAAAAAGAGTTAAGTACCCAGTAAATGTCATCAGCATGAGTGTTGACAATTACATGCCATGGAGAAGGAATGAGGAAGAAGAACCAACCTAACTTGTTCCTGTTTGAAAGCAGGGTTGCAGTGCAGTGCAGGACGTGAGGCAAAGCAGCTTGCACTAGCTCCCATCTGGAAATGCTCTGGATGGCTTCAGAGAGGGCTGGAGAAAGGCCATGCAGCTTGTTCTCTACCAACACACGTTCAAAGGACTGTGGATGCCGAAAAAGAAGAAAAAAAATGTGTAAAATAAGGAATTGGTGATTCTGTCTGATGAGAAACTGGAGATCAAAGTACTACACCAAGATGCAAATCACGGCATCAAGTTTTTTTGAAGTGCACTCACATTGCATTTCATGTTGATGTACAATGGGTCATGATCATTTCTTTTTAGCCATTTTTAGGTATTTGATTTAAAATATAGGACTTGAATTATTAAGTGATTTTTATTTTCACCAAAATTAGCGTCATCTAAAAAAAGAGTGCAACACCACATTTAACTCGTGTAATATGTTATAAAATGCTGCTGTGGCATCCAAGGGGGCTGTCACATTTGCAGACCACAATGAAATGTCTTTTGTGAAAGGGTCTTGAGGACAGAATTGCTTTTGATGTGGTTCAACAAGTGTTAAATAAGATACAACTCTTTCAAGAAATCTGATTTGGGGGCCTCTGAATTATTTCATGTCCTAAGCAATAATCTGGCACAAGACATTTCCTTCCTAATGCCTGTAACCATAAAGATACTTCATATACCTTTGAATAAAAGATGGAAGGAAGGGCAAGGAGAATGATGGGAAATAAGCCATAGTTTTGCTGGTTTATTCACTCTTTCTTGGCCGGGGATACTTTCAGAAAGTGAAACATCACAGAACAAATTTGACCTACTCCCAGTTTTTTTTGTTGTTGTTATTTGAATGGGGGTGGGGGGCAGATATCGCTCTAAGGGGTTAGGGAAAGTATAGCTTCCAAATATTAAAATAAATTTAATAAAAATTTGACTTACATGAATTGAACCTGATTGCTACTTGATGCCCCATGTAATCAAGAAAACTATGGAAATATGCTATAGAGTGATCATAATACAGGTTCCAAGTATTCAAGCTGTATTATTGGTACTATTAGGATACCAGAGAAAAAGACATGGCTTAATACAGATATTCTCTGAAGAAAATGAGTTACTTTTTGACTAAGAAAAGGAAAATAAGAAATCCATCTTCATAATGAAAAGCATGGTGATGTTTCAGTAAGGAGTGTAAAAAGATAATGGTTTTTTTTTTTTTTTTCTAAACTGAATAAAGACATATCCAAATGATTTTAAATTCTTCAGCCCTCAGGTATCTAAGTATTCATTAAGTAAATGGTGAGTATGTTGGGCATTAAAAGATTATAAAGAATTTACAGTCTTGTTGAATACATTTTAGAGGATGAGTTGTATATTTTATAATTGGGTGCTCTGGGTACTTAATGTCATTTCCTTCTTAAATGTCACTAATACAGCTCTTATTATTTTTTAAACCCTGAAAACTGCTTTCTACATTTTTATTTCTCTGTGACTTAGTTGTTTGATATCGTATGACTACATTAAAAATGCCAAATCTTTGCCAAGGACAGGGAAAATACAGGATTATTTTAAGTTAGTATAATTGTAAGCATGATTTATGGAAGGCTCAGTGATTTCTTAAGTGTCAAATTACTCTAATTTGAGCTAAGTACAACAACAAATTCTATTAAAAGGTCCTTATTAAAAGATTATATTTTAAAAATATCTCTGTGGCAACTTTGAAGGGCAAGAGATACAACAAAACAAATTCCTATTTGAATGTGTGTACCTGCATGCACGTTTAAAACTCTCTAGTAGGCTCTCATCATTTTTAAGGGTCATAACACATTTCAGAACTCCTCACTATATAGTCATCTGTGTAGTCATTTGCAAATTTTCATGGCAATGCCTAAATGGGTAGGTTTCCACTTTTAGGTTATGATATATGAAATGTGAAGATCCTTATTTGAGCTCCAAATTCTAATGAAATTTATGAAAAGTTCATCCCATTTTTGCTTCATGATTTCATGTTTTTTGTTTTTGATTTGTGATCGGGACCTCTTTAAGGATATATGATTCCCTTAGACTCTCAGGACAAGTGCACTCTATAAGGTATACATATTAATAGCATTAGTCTCATAATTATTTTACATCATCTATTTTCAGACTTGCACAAAACATGCAAGACATCAAGTTCAGAACTGTATATGACTTTGAGTCATTCATAGGCCCTCATCTCATTAACTTCCACCATAACAGTCTCAATTTTGTTGAGGAAGGAATGGACTTCTTATATTTGTCCTGCAAGGCCCTTCACCACCAGGTTCTTTGTAATCTCTCCATCCTTTCTTCTACTGCTCTATTCCTATCCACTCGGGGATAAGGTGCTTTAGACTTGCTATTCCCCTTTACTCTTCCCTTAACTATTCCTCCCTCCCTATTTTCAGTTTTCTCTAACAGTCACATTAGCAGGTAAGCCTTACCTATCCTCTGTTCTTAACATGGAATCCACTCCCTCCCCCAATCCCGAGCTGCCAGTGCCCCCAGTCTCCTTTCTTTCTTCATTTTCTCCATAGTGCTTATCACTATCTGGCTTATTATGTATTTTACTTATTTGTGAGTAGCTTGGCTTCCTCCCACTAGAATGCAAACTCTGTATTTTGATTATTGCTCCATCCCATCATTTAGAACCCTGCCTAACACATAGAAGGTGCTCGATAATATTTGCTAAATGAATTAATCTAAACAGTCAGTTTAATTTAATGCCTTTCTTTGGGTTGAAATGACCACACAGAATATGGAAACAATCATTAAATGTTGAATATCACATACCACACATGAGGCTTCATATTGCTTTCCCAGTTTAGGCCTCAAAAATGCACTGAAAAATTAATAGAGATAGCGGTTATAAGTAAAATTATTAGCATCTTTATGAAATATTTTTTCAACGGATAAGATACAGTGCTACATAACTCAAATTTCATGCCTCCCTATAGCTTGTTAATGAGCAGGTGTTGAACAGCTGACGACATTTGCTTTTACATATGTAATTACATGTATGAAAGAGATGTGGATCTCCACATTTTCTGTATCCACTCTTATTCTGAAGACTTTTTCCTAATCAGATTCCAAATTGCCAATGGTCAGGAGTGGTGTATTGCTCATGTGTATAATTATATAAAAAACTAAAAATGAATAGCTTGTGGGTTGTGATTTCCAGAACCTAATTTTTTATCTTATAAATTTACAAAATAATAATAACAATAATAATAATAATGGAAATCTTGTTTCTTGTTTATTAGAATAGGTTTCAGAGATTCTTCCAGGAAAAAAAAATGCTTATCAAAAATCATCTTCCTCAAGTTCTTGAACCAGGAAGACTATATTGGCTGAATCCGAGCAAAAATGGTTAACAAGTGGGCATAGCCGATATTCGCCAAACAGGAGCTGGAAAAACAACAGGTCACCGGCCTGGAATTACAGCAGGAGATGGAGCGGAAATTGGACGCAAGAGCACAACCAGTCATAATTATCTTCCCTAGTTCCCCGCCCCCTCTTCCTAGGTTTTCTGCCCTCCCACCCCCTAAATAATGTATATATTTATTCAACTGCCAATCTGCTTGTCGGCAAACTTCACGGAAATATTTTTTTTAATGCGTGTTTTTAAGCAGGTGCAGAGGGCTTGCTTTCCAGCCCCAGAGAGGGAGCTGCAGGCTGTGGCGCGGCCTCAGCAGCAGTGGCGGCAGCGGCAGCGGCGGTGACCCAGGCGGCCCCAGGAGCGTCCCCAGCCCAGGGTGGCCCGCGGCGTGCCCTCTGCGCCCCTCACCTGGTTTGCCGCCACAGGAAGGTCTGGATGGGCAGGGGGATGCCGCGGCCGCTGTCTTGCTCCTGGCCCTCGGAGCTCTTCCTCTTCACCATGATGGTGGCTCCTGGGAGTCCTACTGCAGGACCCAGCTCTGGCTCCTCGCTAGCCGCCGCCGCCTCCTCCTCCTCCTCCCGCTGCTCTCCCCAACTCTCATCCCCTCCTTCCCCGAGGCTGAGCCGGCTCTCTCCGCCCTGATCCCCCGTCCCTCTCCCCTTCCCCCGCCCCTCCCCGCCCGTGGAACATGGCTGCGGGAGGAGGGGAGGGCTGGAGGAGCCGCGGAGCGAGGAGGGGGGCGCTCGGAGGAGCTGTCCGCCTCGCCGCCCCCGCGCCCGCTCCTTGCTTTCAGTACCTCCCACTGTGGACAGCAGCCCGCGCCGGCGGGCCGGGCGGCAGAGCAGAGCTGGGGACAGGGTGAGCTGCAGCGGGATGGTCAAAAAGGTCCACACTCCGCATTGCACGCTGATCCCCTCCCGCCTCTTCCACCCCCTAGGATTCGGCTTCCTTCCCTGCGAGCTGCACCCCAGGAGTGTCCCCTGTCCTGCTTCCCAACCTCAGCATCCGAAGTATTGTCACAGTCTGGGGAGGAGGAGCTTTGGGAAACCGCAGAACAGTCACTAACCCTGGCATCATTCGCACGTCTAGCAAGGAGGTCAGGAGTCCACCCTTGGGTTTTAGCAGAAGGAGCACATGAAAATTATTAGAAATGTAAACAAGGAAGAGAGCAAGCTTGGCAAGACAGAGAAAGCTTGAAAGTTTTCTAATGTGAGAATTTATTTTAAAATGGTAACCACAAGAATTTTACTTTATTTTGCTAAAGCAGGAATATCCACAAACTAACCAATTGTGGGTATCAGTTAATTATAACTTGAGAAAGAACATTTGAATCATGCTTTTAGGAAACGCTGTTTATTATAGTCCATGAATGTACTTGGACGATCCTGTTCATCCCATCCATATCTGCCATTTTCCTTCAGTTGTCATCGTCAAATGTCTGTATAATTTATCGATGGGTTACTGTTAGGCTCCTAGGTGTTTCACCTAGCATCAAAACAAGTAGGGATGGGGATGAAGCAGTTGGAATAGAAACCCATTGCTGTGAACCCAACTACCTGAAAACAAACAAATACAGTCACACACCTGTTTGAACAAAGATATTGATGTAATAACACATGGAATAAAGAATGAGACCCTAGGGCCAGATCTCACGACATAGAAATATTTCTTGTATAATTAACTATTTACTCTTTTACTCCATATAGAGAGAATTATGTGGTATATATTGGTATTTTCAGTCACAAAGTTAAAATATCCATTTAATTTCTTGAAGTAATATTTGATTTGACAGACAGAGATCACAAGCAAGCAGAGAGACAGGCGGGGGGTGGGGTGGAGCAGGCCCCCCACTGAGCAGAGAGCCCGATGTGGGGCTCGATCCCAGGACCCTGGGATCATGACCTGAGCCGAAGGCTGAGGCTTTAACCCACTGAGCCACCCAGGCGCCCCCGAAGTAATATTTTAACAGGAAGTTTGAAACAAGGAAAGACATCTTCTAAATACAATTTATTCAATACATATTTATTGAGTCCATTTTATATGCCAAGAACCATGTTGTATAGATGGCTGTTCTTAGGGAACTCACAGCACTGAAAGGAATATAGACATGTACAGAAAAGGGTACCATGGAAAACATGACACCGATTCACTTATAAACAAAGGGACAAGGCAGAAAACATGGGCTGGAATTGGATGGAAAAAAGGTTTTGTATGGCAAGCTACAGAGTTTGGATAAGAAGACTTTAAGTAGGGCAGTAAAAACCTTTGTTTCCATTTAAGGGCAATTGATATGAGTGGGATGTAGAGGTCATTTTAAATAAACAAGCATTGTAGATGGGAACCTCAGTCTGAACTTTAGAGAAATATTTCATGAGATGCTGAACCAAGGCCATGACAGCAGAACTAGAAATAAAGAGATAAATTTGACTGATATTGCAGAGGTGTAATTAAGTAAGATTCGATAACCAAGTGGGTATAGGGAAAGAAAAATATACAGTGGTTAAGAGCTTAGATCTTGAGCTAGACAGTTTTGTCCCTAGAACTACCTTGTCCTAGATATAATACCCCAGGAAAGGTTCTTGGACAAGGTCTCCAAATAATCATACCTTTCCCATGGAGTTGTGTGAAGATTAAATGTTAATACTTGTAAAAAAATATTTAAGAGAGTCCCTAATCTATACTAAGACTTCAATAAAAAAACAAGCAAAGCTCTAGGTTTTCTGATTTGAGCAACTGAGTAAATGATGATCTCATTCGAAGACAGAAAAGTTGATAGGGAGAATTATATTCTTATTTTAGGTCTGTCTATAGGAGCATTAATGGGTTTTCCTTAAATCTTTATTGGAAATGTTAGTGGGTATCACGAAGAGACAGCTAGGAATATGGGTATGAGGTTCAGAAGAGTTAGCTGGTAGGACAGATCAATTTCTGTGGTTAACACTGTAAAAAAAGTAATTGAAACTATGGAAGTAGTTAAAGTAATCCAGGCAAATATATGGAAAGAGAAAAAAAACAATTTACAAATCTAGAGAACATCAAGTTCTGTCTATTGCCACAAAGAATGTTGTTGAGAGATGATAGCACAGAATAGGATAGTAGGATAGGCAGAGTTCTAAGATAGTGCCCCAGATTCCCACCCCTGGCTTATATATATACCTTCTAGCAATTAATCAAATACTTATCCAGGTGCTGCTGTGAAAAGATGTATATAAAGCTTCAGGTTTTAAAATTTATTAATAAGCTTTATTTCTGAAAGCAGTTTTAGGTTTACAGAAAAATTAAACCAAAAATACAGATAGTTATCTATTCTCTCTCTTCCAGTCCAGTTCCTTCTATTATTATTTTTTAAAGTTTTATTTATTTATTTTAGAGAGAGAGAAAAAGAGAAGGGGGTTGAGGGAGGGGGCCTAGAGAGAGAGAGAGAATGTTAAGCAGACTCCTTGCTGAGTGTGAAGCCCAGTGAAGGGCTTGATCTCACAACCCTGAGTTCATGACCTATGCCGAAATCAAGAGTCAGACACTTAACCAACTGATCCACCCAGGTGCCCCTAGTTTTTTGTATTATCAACAAACTTACATTTGTGTGGTACATTTGTTATTACTGGTGAGCCAATATTGATATATTAACTAAGTCCATAAAGTTCATTTTGTCTATTATACTGTTATACAAATATTGTACAATATTTTGCCAAATAATGTCACACATTCATCATTATGAATCATACAGAATAGTTTCATGCCCTAAAAAAATCCTCTATGTTCTACCTATCCTCCCTCCCTGATGCCTGGCAAACACTAATCTTTTTACAGTCTCTCTAGTTTTACCTTTTCCAGAATGTCATATAGTTGAAATCATAGAGTATATAGACTTTCTAGATTGGTATCTTTCACTTAGTAAAATGTCTTTAATTTTACTTTATGTCTTCTTGTGGCTTGATAGCTCATTTCTTATTGCTGATCAATGTTTCATTGTATAGATGCACCATAGTTTATTTATCTAACCATCTCAGTTGCTTTCAATTTTTGGCAATTACAAATAAAGATGCTTTAAACACTTCATGTGCAGGTTTTGGTGTGGATATAAGTTTTTAATTCTTTTGTATAAATACCCAGGAACACAATTGCTGGATTGCATAAGACTATGATTGGCTTTGTAAGGTCTGTCAAATTATCTTCCAAAATGGTTGTACCACAGAATTAAAAAAAGAGAGAGAGAGAGAGATGTGAACATATTTATGGTCCAGAATTAAAGAGTCCCAGAAGAAGAAAATGTTAAGGATATTTGAGAGAGGGGATAATAAATTAAAAGTTTCTGGAGGATACTATATCTGGCACACAGAGGGATTAATCACTCTTTGGTGAAGGAATAATTTCTAAGATGGGAGACAAAAAGGGAGAACAGTAGAGGTTAAATCAGCAGAAAAGGAAGGATAACCATATGATACAGTTCAGGCATAGGTAAACTGTGAAGTAATTAGTAAGGTCATTTTTAAAAAAGTTTCGTTTGATGGGGGAGGAATAGGGCATTTGTCAGAAAAATAATAATAGATAACATAATTGAATAGTTGTTATATGTCAAGTTCTGTTTTAAATATATTAGTCAATTGATCCAAAAAACTCTGCAATCAACATTTTAAGAAGAGAAAACTGAGACACATGAAGTTTATATAACTTGCCTAAAGTTATACAGGAAGTAATGAAAGAAATGGTGAAGTCAGTTTCAAACTTAAGCCCCAAGTTTTTAATATAATACTGAGTGTTGTGCAGTTATGAGGGTTTGGAAAAAGAGTTATGAGTCACAAAAATAAGAACTGCTCAAGGACATATGAAAGAATTACCCTGTTGATGATAGAAGATGAAGAAGAGCTAATGGTCCTTTTCAACCCCAAATGCCCTTAAAGCATTGAGTCATCTAGAAGCAGAAGAAATCTATGATAAGCACTTGTTAAGATCAGTATTCAGAATCATATTTTAGTGGAGAATCAAGATTGCCATGACAACTTACTTCTTACAACCATTGAAAGCCTCCAACCTTTTTGGGGGGGGGGCTTTTGGGAAGAACCCTACCCTCCTTAAATGCTTTCATCTACACTGCCTTCTGTCATGTATTTCTCTTTCAATTCAGATAAACACTATTGGAGGAAAGCTAAGAACTGGGTTAATCTGGTCAATGACACCATCACAGCTAATAAACCAACTCCATTGTAATCACTGCATGTTATTATCTCACCATACAAGACTGAATTGGATGTGGAGCTTTCCCAAAGACGGTGCCTAGTGATGGAGTGGCCTTGGGCAGTAGAGAAAGTGGCTACTGGGCCTTAGAAAGCATGGGAAAGGGAATTGCAAAAAGATCTAGACAGATTCAGCTAAATATATGTCAGCTTTAAAGGTTGTCCTCTTTTAAATGAAGGAGTGAATTTTGATAGTGACCAGACGTTGAGTTGTCAGGTGAATATACAAATAAACATTCCTGGCAGTTAGGCTGAAGAGAGAAGAACTCTAACTGGGTCTTGGAAAAGATTGCTTCAGTAAGCAGAATCCAGAATGCTGTGTAAGTACATGAGAA